GAGCCAGCTTCCTTTTCGACCCCGAGCTGGAAATGCCATAGAAACCCATAGAAAGCCGACAGCCTAAACATATACACCCCTCGCCTTCAGAGGATGACCGCTGGCCATCCAAAGAGGACACTTCCGCGACCAAAGGCGGAGGGAAAGGCGCGTAGGGCCAAGCTCATGTTTTCTGTGTAGTAGAAGGGAGCTGAGCAACATGTGAACCCAAACATTTCCCATCCCTCGATTCTCAAAGCACCCGCCGCCCGGAGTTGCAGCAGTCGCGACCCTGACCCCACAACACAAGGCAAGAGCAAGGCAAAATCGGGTTCTGCCCGGCCGGCTCTGCCCGCACCCACGAAACTCGCAGACGTCACCGCGACGCTTGGACCACGGAAAACCGAGGCTGCTGAGTCCTTGCACTCGACAGGCCCAAGCCCCTGAAGCCTTTTTGAGCACCCCAAAGAAGCCCTGGAATTGAAAGCAGCCGGGAAGATTGGAAATCAAACGTAGTCTCGCAAGGAAGAAGAGCACCATCAGCGAGCAGGAGCGGACCAATCGTTTCTCTGGCAAGGGTTCGTCGAGCCAGAGCCAGGCAGGATTTGCGGAACGAAATCACGTTGGATTCTCTCTATGGCTCTTCCTTCAAGGTCTGTCCGAAGCTGAACTAAAGGTGCCGGCAGTCGACAAGTCGACAGGAAGCTTAAGAACAATCTTGAAGACCTTTGCAGCAGGCTTTTTTGTTAACCTGAAGCCCGTCCACCGTCCGTCTTCTTTGCGCTTTTGAGAGGCGAAGGGCAAACGCCCTTCCCAGCCGGCGACGACTGCATTCAGAGAATCAGATGGCCAGCAGGCATGCTGAGGAGTAGGGGTTTTGTGAGCACAGTCACGCGCTCTCGGCTGGCCCTCGATGAGCAACAATGGATGTGTAGCCAGCCTTGTCCCCAACTCCCAGAACAGCCAGACCCTCCACATGTGCTTTTCCTGACCTCAAGGATCCTCACAAGCTCTGAACATCTCCACGCCTCTTCTCAAGCTGCAAGCTGGAGGCTCGCAATAAGCGTGCTGCCTATGACTCCGACTCTGGCCCTTCGAAGCGGGCGAGGACAGCTGTTTTGGCTTTGGGAGACACGGAGAGCAGGGGCATTAATGGTTTCCTGCTCTCGACAGGACTGGTCACTCACCCTCCGCTGGTGGACCAGGTGCATCCGGCAGCCGGCCAAGGGGTTTGGTTTCTTCCCTGAAGGTTCCGCACAAACTTTGCTAGGCTACTTATCTCAATCGGGTTCTTGTCATGTCTTTTGCCGCACCTTCAGCATCCCCGCACCACGTAGCCTTTTGTTTCGCTGGCATACTCGCACACCGTCTTTTCCGTGTTTATCGAAGTGTCTGCAGGCAAAGGAGGGAAAGATGGTAAGGACGGCAAGAGCAAAGGCAGCGCGAGCTCTCAATGCTCTCAAGAGCAACATGGGAGTACTATGTAGGATTCCCTTCTAATAAGGACCTCAATCCCCCACAATTTCGGCAACCCCCACATGGTTTTTGGGCGGTATGACGGTATGGGATGGAATGAGGCTTTCTTCGAGGGTCGAGTTCTTCAAGCACTTTTGCAGACATTTTCGTTCGGGGTAATGCATTGGGGTCTCGGCTTGTAATGCTGTGACGGGCTGTGCTTTTTCTGCTACCTTCGCGTGGGCTCCTGTATCCAAGTCGGGAAAAGCTTGGGAGGGCTCGAATCCCGCCCAGACCCATCTTCTGTCAGCTACAGGAACGCAATGAGGGCCAATGAACACCCTAACGTTTCTTCAATATCTTGAATGCCCTCTCCAACGCCGCGGCTTCTCCACGGCCTCTCCGTCTCAAGGCCTCTCCAGCAAAAATTGGATCTCTTCCATGGTTTCCCAAGTCCTGTCGGAGCCTCTAAGGAACTTGTGCAGGGCTGTATCATGCGCTTGGCGTGCCATGCCAACCCCCCAACCCCAGCCCGGTGGCAGCTGCATCTGGGGGCGGCGCAAAGTCAAAATGACGCTGGAGCAGACATAATCGCAAGCTTGCTTCTAAGAATCTCATGCCACCAATAGACTCTCTCAAAACCATATGAACATATTCCAAGCACATCATATGACACCTGTGCTTCCCAGCCCTGGTTTTTCGAGCCGTGCAGGGGGGGGGGGGGGGGGGGGGTGGTGGAGGTTGCTTCAAAGAAAGGCATTCCCTGCTCTTTTGAGGTACAGGGTGGTGGCCTGTGCAGGGGGCCTGCGCCCCTCCCAACGGCTCCCTTCAAAAGAGTGGGGAGGCAGTCATTCTCAAGATACCATCACACCGAACAAAAGGGAAACGGAGGAGAGAATGCCGAACATCTAGCTTCAAAGAATGCCGTGTCGAGAGGAGTTTGTCTCAAGACCCTATGAATCCTGTCCAAACCCACCATGTGAGCCATTGTGTTTGTATATGGGGCTGAGCGTTTAGTTTACTCACTGCTCTTGCGAGCTGTGCAAGATCCGGGCCGGGGCCTCGCCCCAGTGGGCCCAGAATCTGCGCAGCCGGGAAGCCTGAAGAAGAACCATCGCAGTCCCGTTACGAGGTGAAATTCTGATGTGTAGGGCCCCTGCCCAACCAGCCAGGCAAGGGCTCAAAGAGCAAGGGCAAGGCCAAGCCAGACAAAGCGCTGCCAGAAGGCAGGTGCCCTCAGCCCTTATCGAACTTATCGTGTTTAGGGTTTAGGGTCTTTGGGGTCTTTAGGGTCTTTACCATCCACTCTACCCTGAACCCCAGAGATTACAAACTCAACGCCGAGCGGCAGCAGCTTCGGAAGGTCCTCCTCCTTACCGGTAGTGGCTCCCATGCCGCGCATGGTAGGGCTCGTGCTCCGACGTGGAAGCCCTGTGTTCCCCGGCCCAAGCCCGAAACCTCGCTGAGAGCCTGACACAGGTTGGGAGCAGCACTGGAGCGAGCAGTACGAGACTTACTTCTACTGGCACAAGACACTTGGATGCAAGGGCAGGAGGCGCCAAGAGGCCTTGTGGCCCCTGTTCCGGTGTTTACCTTTTTAATTTTTAGGGGTACCTTGTTGGGGTCCTTATATGTCCTTATTATAAGGGTAGGGTCCCCTATTTTCGGAAACCCCCTGTAATGGTTGCCTCTGATCGTGGAGCAGATCATGAGAGGCCCTTTAAGGCGAGCCATGCCGGTTTGCTGTTCCTATTCTTTTTTCTGGCAATGATTTTGAAGCTAGCGGTCGGAGTGGTTGCGGGCTTTTCACCATCATCGTCGTTCGTCGTGGTTGTCGTTGTCGGTCGGTCGGTCGCTGTCACTTTTGTTGTCGAGGTTGTCGTTGTCGTCATTGTTGTTGAACTTGTTCTTGTCATTGCGCGCGAGGAGCCTTGATCCACACCCTGAACCCTAAGCCCTAAGAAGCCCTGAACTGAGCCCAAAGATTCGCCATCAGCATCATCCCCATATTGCCTGTACTTTTTTCAGTGAAAGCTGCCTCATGCGAAAGTGCGTCGCTTCTCTCGTTGCCACCGCCCTACCCAAAGAGGACGCCAGGCCCGGTGCGCTCAGCGCATCCAGCATCCTCTCACACCTTTGGCCGGGTGTGGGGCAATCTGCGTGCCGGTAGTCTTGCCACCCTTTGGGCCACCACGTTTTAGGCCAGAAGCGCATGACAGCGGAGCGAATGAGATGCGTCCGTTGGGGGTGTCCCGGAGAGCCATGGCGATGGCAGACGTGCCTGCATGAGATTCGTACGATGGGAAGCATGGAGAGTGTAGCGGAATAAGAAGGGCCAGAAAGCCCATGATGTCCTTAAGCGGCCGGGTGGCCCCGGTTTGTTTCCAAAACAGACCCCGTAGGGAAGTCCCAGTCCTTGGAAGAGCCCACGACCCTACCCATTCGGTTTTAACAGCCTCAGGACAACCGGAGAGTCAACGTGGGAGAAGCCCAAAGAGTGATCTGCGATGGTGCGAGCATGTGAGGGGACGATGTAGCGACTGCAGAAGACAAGTTGTAGTGTGCCTCAGCCAACCAACATCTTTACTGCAGTGTCGACTCAAGTGTAGAAGCAGAGCGACTAGCATGGGGAGGTCTTTCCATGAACTGACACCCTCGGTGCGTGTGGCGTGCAGCTGAACCAGTGTTACTACATTATGCATGAGATAGAACTGCTGATGCTAGTTTGCGTGACTCAAGCCTGCAACATGTCCCTTGACGTATGGTCTGGAAGCCATCCCCCCCCCCCCCCCCCCCCATACAGAACGACCCCAGATTCCTCAAAATGCACGAGCGGAACCACCTTGCTTGGACTCAGACAGAAGAGGCAAAGGGGTCACTCGGGTCACTCGGGTCGCTGAGTCAACATCGAGAATGGTCATGACAATTTTGCACCGATCTCCAGAAGCAGTCAGAACAGCCTTCACTCCAACACTTCACAAGACTTCACACCGCTAAGAGCGCGCCGAGACCATCCTTAATCCTCAGCCCCGGGATAGCAGCTAAAGACGGCAGTGCGCTGCAGTGCCTTGGGTCTCCAACCCCCGACCTCCTTGCCATGTTCCCGAAGCCAACTTGTCTTCCTTTGGATGAGCGGGCTTCGAACTGATGGCAGCCTCAAATTAACGTGGCTCAGCGAGGGCCACCGATTTAGCATGGCCAGTTGACATGGTGGACACTAACTACGTTGGGGTTCGTCAGGTCACTCAGGTTCATGGCTTGCCGCAAGGCTTGCCGCAAGGCTTGGCGGCCAAGCAAGAGCTCCAGCCTGCACGCGGTGGAGAAACAGAGCGCAGGGTACACGTTCTCGCGCCCCACCAAGAATCTGGGTTTGAATCTGCGAGGTTCATTGTTTCGTGGCCTTGGTTCAGGATTTCGCCGCTTCATCTTACTCCTGCCCCCAAGCAATTGACGGTATCGCCATCCTAATCCATGCCACTGCTGCCACTGAGCACGTACACGCTGGGCCGGTGCCTGCAATGTTCTGGCCGCTTTATACATCAAAGTTTTGATGCAGCACCGTGCAGGAGCAGGCGAAGAAGAAGCGCCTGTCCGGCCTCGATGCGCATAAGGCATCCAAGCGCACCCAGAGCCCAATGCCCACTTTGCGAGCGGGGGAGTTTCGGGATTTAAGGATTGAATGGTTTGATGAGGCATTCTTTCGAGCTCTTCGCTGAGGTCGCAGAGGTATCAGTGCCAGCTGTGTTCTGCTTCTTACTTGAGGGTGTCCCCAGGCAGCTGAGGCTCTCCATCACAGTGCAGCTTCTATGTCCGAACAAAACTTAACAGAACTGAGCATCTGTGCTGTTTGTGACCAGCTTTGTGGGAACGGCTCTTACTTCTAGTATCTTCAATCACTACATGAGAGTCTCCGTGGGGCATCAGATCCTCCGAGTCTCTAGCTCTACAAGTACCATTTGGGAGATTAAGCATCCGACGACAACGACGCAGATCAGAACAGCGATCGACTGTGATGCCTGTGCTGTTCAATGCAAAAAAACTCCACCATCCTGATGTTGGCAATGTGCCGGCAAGGGCATTTCTGTGCAACAGCTGCAGGTGCCGTTAGTCACGTAGTGCTAGCAAACGGGGCCAAATCCACAACCTACAGCCGGTTTCGATGCACGCTTTCGACCAGAGACACCGAAGCTTCAAAGCCAGTCGCGTAGGCGAACATCCTGGCAGCAAAAGCCATCGCCGATTCTGCCAACCCCTTAGCTTTCCGGTTTCGGTTTCGGCCAGTTTTGGGCTCCCCACATTGTCTGGGCCCCGAGCATTACAAGTGGATTGAAGGGATTCTGCCTACAACGTCTCCTCCATTCCAGTTGTTGAGTTTTGGGGGTGTTGGTTCTTGAAGGCTTCAATCCTCAGGTGCAGGGATGTTGCAGGGGCTCTGGGCAGAGAGCTGCCAGCGCAACGCGGTTCAGTGCCTCTAATCCCGGCCTCCAAACCCCAAGCCAGGAAACGCGCGCACGCCGGAACACCAGAATCCTCTCCCCCCCCTCCCCCCCTAAGTTGGCCCTAAACCCTAAACCTTAGGTCCGGCCCCCTCCCAGTAACAGTTCAAAACTCCGTTTTGTATGTGACACACAGCCCATAAAAAGCACCAGAGAATCCAAACTCATTTCAGGATGGAATGGGAGGTTTGGGCCGAAATCCATACTCAGTTTGGGGTGGGAAAGGGAGGAACAAAAACTAGTTTATGAATTATTTTCTGTTTGAGATGTGGGGGAAGGACCAGAAATCCAAACTAAATCCAGGTTGCTTGAGGAGAGAAAAAAATAGTTTGGGCACGAAGAACTCAGCAAGGGAGCAGGCTCGATGGGGATTAACCTGATGAGGGTGGGATGAGGTGAGCCTGCCAGGGAAAATCGATGGTTACCTCCCCAAGGTCCAAATGTGTAGCCTGGAGCTTTTAGGTTCAATGACGTGCGTGATCCCGTTGTTCCCGAAATACGCGCGCCGTATGCCGTACACCGTACACCGTACGCCAAGCCCTTGTTCCGTGCCCAGGGCTTCATTACGAAGTGATCCGTCCAGTCTGCCCATTGCTGTTTAAAAGTGCTGCCTGTGAACACACGGGACACGTGTTGGCAGGCTAGCCCGCGGAGCTCAGCAACTCGTGTTGCTACCGTGGCTCCAGAGTGGTTCATCGCAGTTTGTTCTGAGGGACTTGGCATCCAGCCAAGTCCCTCAGTTCCTGGAAGCTGGAACTAGAAACACGTCGCTGTTTTCCGTGGCGAAATTGGACGCGCCGCGGACGATTTTGAAAACATACGACCACAAAAAAAAAGCACAAACATAGAAACACACAGCGCAAAAATAGCACCAGAAAGCACAAACATGAAAACACACAGGACAAAAAAAGCACCAGAAAAGCACAACAGACCACCACAAAAAAAAACCACAAACATGAAAACACACAGCACAAAAAAAGCACCAGAAAAGCAAAAAAAAAAGCACAAACACGTCAAAAAAAGCACCAGAAAAAGCACAAACACATCAGAATTTCCGAAAATTACGGCTGCTCGTGACCCGGCGCTTTGGTTTTTAATTCAAGAGAGCACAAAAAAAAAGCACAAACATGAAAACACACAGCACAAAAAAAGCACCAGAAAAGCACAAAAAAAACACAAACATAGAAACACACAGCGCAAAAATAGCACCAGAAAAGCACAAGAAAAAGCACAAACATGAAAACACACAGCACAAAAAAAGCACCAGAAAAGCACCAAAAAAAAAAAGAAGCACAAACGCGTCAAAAAAACCACAAACAAAGCACAAAAAACACCATTAAAACATGATCATAAATTCAGAAACAGGAGGCAAAAGGCTTTCCCTTCTAATTCCTCTATGAGAGCCACCTGGCCCCCGGGTCCGAGGGTCCCAGCCTTGGCCTCAGACCTCCCGTGGTGGAGGCTCTTGGAGCTCTGTCTAATGGCCGGGCTTGAAACTTTCGCAATGTATACGGGCCCTCGAACTTTGGAAAAAACAAGCAATCGCGCGCACGCGCGTGCACGCGCGTGCCTTTCACCCCTCCGTGACCCTTGCCTTGCCTCTATATTGTCCAGGATTGTTCACGTTTGCTCAACATCGAAGTCTCATGTGCCTTGAGACATGGAATAATACGGCGTAGGCTTAGCAGCGTGAATGCTTTTGGCAATCGGGTTTGGTGGCAGGAGCCCGGCCTTGATTGAAGGGCTTAGGGATTCAGATGTTTGGGGTTTACGCCTGAGGTTTAGAGGTTTTGATACGGTTTTAGCTATTAGGGATGGGGGTTTGAAAGTCGGGGGTGTGAGCCATCACGGGCTAAGCCGTTGGCGCTTAGAGAGGTTTTTGAGTAGAGTTTGTTTAGGGCATAGGTTTTCCAGGATTGTTATTGCCTTGGGCCTCTTTAGACAGGACTCCTGTGATGGTCATGGTCTTATGATCATATTTATCACGAACATGTTTCAGTTTCCTCGTGCTTTTTATTGTGGGTCTGTTTGTGCTCACTGTTACTGGGCGGGGGCCGGATCCAACCTAAACCCTAAAACCTAAAACCTAATTCTTCAGCTCTCCCAGGTCCGGAGCTCGATGGGCCCCAGAGGGATGGACAAGATGGTCGTTGGACCAGACGGGGCATGGCTCTCGGCTTTTGGATCCGAACCGATTCCAAGGGCGAGTGTGGGGATGTGTGGGGGTATGCTAGAAGCTCCGGCCCCCCCCCCCCCCCATGCTGCAGATCGATTCGGTCTTCGGAGTCGCATTGTGCCGAGGACGTTACCGTCACAAATGACGGTGCCACGATCCTAGAAAAGATGGATGTGCAGCACCAGGCAGGTGCGACCAAGCCTCTCAATTTGTGACACTCATCATGCAGCTGACAATGACTATGCTAAATGAGTTGTGCCAACATGTGTCGGACATGAGCCAACATGTGCCAACCCTCTCGGACCAGCGGAGCCCGCTCTGCAGATAGCGAAGCTTCTCGTCGAGCTGTCGGCGTCCCAGGTTCGCCCTTAAGAGTTGAGTCACTTTGAGAGTTGCCAGCTTTTGTTGTTTGCATCAATGAGTTCAATTTTCTTGCGCGTTGCTTGAAGCCAGTAAGGCCGTTGATCATTTCAAGGGTCAATCTGCACAAGAGCATGCACGGGTCTTGTAGTTATGGAGTCTCATGTTTGTGGTGTGGAAGGGGGACTTGCCAAGACAGTGTGACGGTGTCTTGCATGCGGCATTGGGGCCATGTTCGGGCAATGCCGCCTGGCACGGCTCTGTAGGCAGGCCGTGTAGGCTTCGGACAGGACCACGAGATTGGCGATGGCACCACGGGGGTGGTTGTCATGGCTGGCGCGCTCCTGGAGAAGGCGTTGCGCTGATGCATCTCGATGCACAAGGTTCTTGAGGCTTTTTGTTGAGGGCTTCAACAATTTTCAGGAGCAGGCCTGGTGTGGTTAGGCGACTTGAGGCGTTTTTGGGGCTTGAGCGTGCAGGTGTTCTCAAGGGTTTCTTTCTTTGTGTTGCCGCATCGACACGTTGTGTCCTCTCGCGGGCGGTCCGTCCCTGACTGATTCGGAACGTGCATCACTTGTTGAGAGCGTGTTGCAACTCGGTGAGCTTCTTATGGCTCAACAGTTAGGATCCATGTGTAGCACAGTACACCGTAAAAGGGGTCTTTGAGTGGCCCTGCTGCATACCAGCAGCAATCGGCCCAGATTGACTGCAAATCCCAACACTGTACTCAAGCCTTCAGCAATCGTTTGTGCGACTTGTCAGGGTCAGATCGGTCGCTCTTTGCCTTCAGAGGCACCTCAACTAGTCCAAGCCCAGCAGACTCGAAGCTAACCACATCTTGCAATCGCAGCTGCGAGCCATAGTGCAAGATGCCATTTGCAACCCGCCTGGGACTTGACACCTTCTTCAATGCCTACGATGAGCAGGCTAGATGAGGGAGGGTTGCACTCAGAGTCAAGATGGTACTCCGGAATTGCCCAACCTTGCATGATGTGGCCAATCACTGCTTTAGGGAAACACAAAGGGCCTCAGTGCCGGAAGGCGTTGGCTTCCCTTGGCGTGTCACGCCGGGCGCGACTGGACACCTGCTTCAAGCAGGTGAAGGTAAAGTTTGACGAGGAGACGAGACGGCTTGTGCGATGTCTTGCGAGTGGCGTTCCGGATTGCGCTTAGCAGGAGGGGCCCTGCGTGGCGCTGCTTTGGTGAAAGCTTTCCTAAGGGTCCAATTCTAGCGAAGCATCGGGAGGACGGCGTGCCCCGGCAGCGGGATGGTGTGCCAGTTTGCTGCAACCCATCTGGACCGTCTCGTGCTTGTGGGGCAGCTTTCTATCCCGCCCGAATCCCAAACTCTGGGGGTAGAATAGGACGACCTGGGCGGCCATGCCGGCAAACCTGCAGGCCCGGCTTCTTCCGTTTTCGAGGCTTTGAGGTTTGGTGTGGTGTGGGAGTGGAGGTTTGGGGGTGGTCGCGCGTAGTTGCAAAGACCCCAAACTAAAGACCTGTCCTGAACCCGACCTGATCGGGCTTAGCAGACAATCTTTCTGCAGGGTCTATGGGTTCCGGAAAATTGAAGATTGATGCCAGTTCATCGACATATGTGTGGAGGTGCACCAATTTTTGGAAACTGTGCGCTGCCGCTGCCTTGAAAAATGGCGGAATTCGTTGCCGGCCATTCGAAGTTTGGTCTTGACAAGAAGGCTCGTTGAAAGGCCAGAAGGGGCTAAGTGAGCAGTCCATGAGAAGAGTCCGACAGGGCTGACGAAGGACCAGAGACGACTCTGACTCCAGTAAAGCTCCTGAAGCCCCTGAAACCTTTGTGTCTCTGGTCAGGACTGACGCGAGGTACATGAAGAGCAAGGCCGGCTTTGGCTCTCTTGTTTGTGACCTCCAGAATCCCCCCCCTTAGCCCTGGAGTCTCGTTGGGGTGGGGATTTTGGGGTTCTCGGCCTTGAAACTGGAGAGGGACTCTTCCAACCCCAAATCAATCTCTTTGGCGACCGCTTGGCTTGGGACCTTGAGCCCTCAGCCTGAGCCCTTGTTCACCACAGGACCAGCGCGATGCGGAGAAGAGGGTGGCTGAGGCCGAAGCCCGGCGGAAGCGCCAAGAAGGCCCATCACTTGGGGTTTCGGGCAGTCTCGGGTGTCCTGTCTCAAGTTCACGCATTATGGATTCTGAATCCGAGGACGAGACAGAGTCCCAGAATCCCGGAGTTGTGGTCAAGTTTGGCAGTGCTCAGGCGGCCGCGGAGGGCGCGGAAATGCGGCGCCGGGGTCCGAAGGTCCGGAGGAACTTGTGGGATTCAAAGAATTCTGAGCATGGGGGGGTCGTTTGGGTTTAAGAGGTGTGCTCCTTATGACGTTGTTTTTCTATTGCGCCTGCCTTCATTGGTGTGGTTGACGGTTTTGGATGGTTTTGGTGCGTGCTGTAGTTATTGTTAGTCGAGGGGCCAGGACGGGCTACGCAGCTGCGCCCCACCCCAAGCTTCTCACATCCCCAATCCGGCAACAGGAATCTCAACGAAGTGTTTTGTTGGCCACATGGGTGCTTCCGAAAATTAGGGGGCCCCAAAAATAGATCCCCAAATAGTAGGATCCCCTCATAAAAAGGACCACCCAATCAGGTACCCCCTATTTTCGGAAATCCTCCACATGGGAGGCTATGCCCAGCGCTTCGAGGGCGCGAATGGTGAGTACAATCCCTTTGGCCGACGCTCAGCTGGTTTACCTCGGCGGGTTTGCGGTGCGTCGTGCCGCGCAGTTTTGTGGAACTCCTACGTTGTTGTTGACTACTGTGCTCAAGCTTCTTAATGTTTCTTGCGGTCTAAACCTGATCTCCGGGACCCTCCCAAAGCTGCACGGGTGTTCCGAGGCCTCTTTCCGGCGCCACCGGCACCTCCAAGGCAAGAGCAGGGGACTGTTTTTTCTGATCTCCGATGCAGTTCCTTGGTCGGGGAGGTCTTATCCCAAATTGGTGGTAATAGTCCGGGTACCGTTCGTGCATCGGGGCAGCCAGAGATGGAGATACCCCTCGGTGAACACCTCAATTTTCAAGTGAACAGGAAGCCAGGATTCTGGCCTTGGCTCGAGGAGAAGAAGGACCAGTGAATCGAGAATTGGCTTTTGAGCGTTCTTTGATGCAGCGCAGGACTTGTACTCATTGGCCTCGGGGTCTCCGAACCCCCAGTACTACCTGACGAAGTGGGCCAGGCGCTCGGATGCTTCGAGTGACCTTGGGCCTGTTTAGGAGTTGAGCTCTGCACGGATGTGTGGAGCTCTTTCGCTTCGAGGGCCTACATCAATGTCAGGAGAGGGTCAATTCCGTCCGCAAAGATGGCACGTCTTCCCCGAGTGAGCCCTCTGTGCTTGGCTTGAAAACCGAGACTGATCTGCCACTGCCCTCTCAGGTTGATCGGGTCAACCACATGAACTTCCTCGGCACCCTTCTCAGCCCCAAAGTTCGCATCTTTCAGGGCTCCGGACTTTGAGTTGTGCGAACTTGCTGCTTCTGCTTTCAGTGGCAGGTTTTGCCGATGGTGCCGTTCTCAGAGCGCAGGGCTCCGGATTTGAGGTCTGGTATTTCTCTTTCAGTTTGTGGCCCAAAGGGAACCAGGTTTATCCAGCAACAAGAGGCATAAGCGGCAAGCTCAAGCAAGCCGTGACGACTGTTGCCTAACTCATCTGTTCTTACGATGCTTATGTTGCAGCTCAAACCTTGAAGCCTGCATTGAGGACCCACAGATGTGCGACCTGGCGTGGTCTCCAGAGCCTCCGACGATGACCTGTATGATCTGGATGATATCCCGGAGTACTTGTGATCTCGTGCGATATACAGACTCTACGTACTGCGATTACTCTTACATGGATGGCACAGGGCCACATTGATCAAGCCCATGAGACCAGGGTTGCCGAAGGGACATCGCTACAACCATCAACAACACTTTGACAGAAGCATGGCACTGCGGCGTTGCAGTGCGCCAGCGCAGCACTCATCCGCGGCTAACACGGCTGTCGGGCATGTCTTGAGACCGTCGGTCCTGCTCTTGAGCTCACTTGCGAAAGGTGGTGTAGGCAGCTAGTCATCAACTTCAACTCATGTCGTCAGCTTAAGACATGTTCCCAGTTAATGCTCTCGCTCTGTGTGGCGGCTCAAAAAGGTGCAGGATGATGCTTGGGATCGGAAGTGGAGGGCCGACGCCGCAATAAAGGAAATAGTGATAAAAAGATGCAGCAGCTGGAAAGAGAGAGTTGGGAGATGATGGCCTTGCGAGTCCTTGGACCTCATCGAGAAGGGCATCCATCCGCTTCGCATCGCCACTGGCTTTGAGAAAGCCTGTGAGGCCATCGAAGAACGATAAAATGGCATTTCTGAGTGTGTTGATACGACAATGTAGCACCCCCCCCCAGCCTCCCTAAGTGGTCCCGAAGCCTGTGGGTTTCAGTTTAAGCCTTGCGTCGAGGGGCCTTGATCAGATATGCGCCTCAGTGGATCTTCGGGGTCCGTTGCTTTGCTTTTCGGGCACGCCCAGGGCCACCACACGGTCAAACCATCAAGTTTGCCGCGGCCGCGGGGCATGTGCAAACTTGTGGATTGCGCCCGCAGCCTGTGAGGTGGCCGTGAAGCGGGTGGAAGAGATCGCAAAGGTCATAGACATCCTTTCGGAAGCCTTTCAGCTGCACCTGTGGGCGTAGAGCTGAAGATAGAGAGACCATGTGATGTCCCCGCGAATCCCAGAACCCCGTGGGTGGCGCTAGTCATAGGGTTTAGGGTTTAGCGTTGAGCAAGCTTCCCAAAGGCAAACGCTCCTTGCTGAGCCTGTATACCTTGAAGTCTTTCGGACCCGAGCTTCGGAGGAGCAAGCGGCGCTGAAGAAGGCTGCCAGCACCGCCTTGGGCTCCAAGGTGGGGTTGGAACACTGGAGGGGCAAAGTGGAGAGAGCCAGCTGTTTGGGATTGCCATGGAAGGTGGTCAGCAGTCGGAAAGATCAGCTTGCCAAGATCAGCGTGGATGCTGTTCTGGCAGCCGGGAGTCTCGGATTCGGCGATTGGGCCTGTTGCGTTGCTCAGTCCGCTTGACTAACAGGAATTGTGGAGGAAGCTGTGGTTCTGAAGAGTAAGCTCAATCAACAGCAAGCTGAAAGTGAGCAGGGTTGCTTCCCATGGTTCGCATGCGCGCATGCGCGTGACTTGGCAAGCTGGCCTCTTTCTTTGGCTCGGATGACTTCTGGAGTAGATGTCAACGTCACATGTGAATGCAGCCATGTCTACCAGTTCAAAAGCCGCCGCGCGGCGCAGCGCCACACCCGAGACTCACAAGCGCTACAGAACCTGGAGAAGAAGAGTCACTTGGGCCTCCACTTCTCAGTAAGCCACACCAAGCCGGCTTGCCAAAGGCCGCCAACCTCCATCACATCTGATTCCCCTAATCACATCTTACAACTTACAGTCTTCAGGGTTCAGGTGCCCCACAGCCGCAGACTCCCCAGTCTCGCCTTAAGGCTCACAATAACCGAGGCCTAGGTTCTCGAAAGGTAGATGTAGACGCAGCCCGAAGGACCCCATCCCGCCAATCCTCTGACTCTTTTGGCCCCCGTGGCGGCGCGTGCCATGGGAGAGCCTGGGCCCCTGTGGTGATGGTAGGAGCCCTGTAGCAAGCTTGCATGCCAGCTGTGCTGGAGCGCTGCCCAGGGCTTAGGGAAGTGCTAAAGTCTGCTGCAGCCCGTTACTGGTGCGAGTGTTCATGTTGACTCATTGACTGGCTTTGATCTGCATATCCAAAACCAAGTGCGTTATCCAAGCTGCTTAAACGCCAGCTTGAAACCTGAACCACGTAAGCTTCCATAACCGCCGAAACTCTGGAGCACTGGCCGAATCCTGCCTTCCGAGGCCGGGCGACAGCAGAAGCCCACGAAGGAGAGACAGCTGGGGACTGAGGGGACGATCTTCACTTTTGCTTTTCGCGTTTTTGGAGCTCAGAGGGTTCCTGTTTTTCCCCAAACAGTCTACTGTTGGGGTTAGAAATTCATTTAAGGATTGCCGACATTCTGAGGACTGTTGCCGGGTTCCTGGGCTTCTTGTCTCCCTTTGGCTCCCTTTGTCTCCCTTTGTCTCTGTTTGTCTCCTGTCGTCTCTACTGTTTCTTTGACATGCCTTTGACTGTTTGGGGTCTTCGGTGGTGTAATTTGGGGTGTTTGGGGCATGTTGGGGCTGAAGTTCACAGTTGAGAGATGCGTCTTGGAGTAGCAGGTATTTGTTGCATCATGTACCTGAGGGCTTTGAAACGAGCTTCCCCCTGTGCTAAGGCCGGCGGCCATCTCGGCGCAGTCGAGGCCCATTTCCCATGCGGAGGGTGGAGGGCCAGGGCAACACTGCACGGCTCTGATGTCGCAGTGTGGCAGCGTCTGAATTCAAGAGCCCACGGCAGTCCGCCGCCACTGATAGCCCAATTCTGGTGTGTGTATATATACATATATGTGTCACGGCACATTCGTGAAGACGTTGCCAAATAATCACGAAGCTCAGCTTCCCCGAGGCCGCCATGACAGCCGGCGGCGCTCCGCGGATTCCAGGGGTAGTGGCTGCGTGGCTCCCTCAGCCAGCGGGGCTTGGGCTTCAGACAGATTCTTGTTCTGGGAGGTTTGGGCATGAGTGTTTTTGGACTCTGTGTTTGGAGTTTCATCCTTGGACCTGGGGGTTTGAGCTCCCCGGGTTGATTGCACGCTCATGAGCATTGCGGGTGGGAGCAAAGCTACAGTAGGCGATAGTAGGCTTTCATGCGCGAAGCATGCACCTGGGCAGCACGCAACACAGGTGCTGCTGTGTGCGACGCAGTAAAATTCGACCCCTGACAACCCTGAAAGCCTTAAGCCCTGAGCGCTAAGCTCAAGCAAAGCACTACAATTTCAGTGCTTCGACTCGGTCAGGCCCATGATAGAAGGGCTCTTGTAGCTGCTGCAGCCCTGAAATTTGTCTGGGGCCCTTCAGAGTCTGTGTATCGTTTTTTGGGGACCTTCAATTGCCCGGTGTCCTGCACGGGGCTTTGGGTACGTGAAAGCTTGGAGCCTGCGCTGACGGCAGCTCTCAGAGAGGTTCGCAGCCGCAGCTCCCGGAGACGACGAAATGATCTAAGAAGCCGCTTGGCTTGGGATCCGTTGAGGGCTTTTGAGATGTGTGTGTGTGTGTGTGCTTATGATTGCTTTATATTGCTTTGTCTTGTTTTGTCGCTTTTGCCCATGCGTGTAGGAGGGTTCGCGGCGTTTGTGATGCTCTGTCTGCCTTCAGGCCTTGAGTTTCGAGTGAGATGCAAGTGAACGCACCCTCAACCCAGGTGACTCCCGCGCTTCAAGCGGCCGGAGCGCAAAGCGGAAGTCCAAAAAGCGACTCGGGCTCGGAGTTCGACTCACAAGCTTGCGGTTCCGAGACCTATAGGAGTCTAGGCATTGGAGAGGCCCCATGTTTTCAAAGTTTTTGCATTTTATTATTGCTTCAAGTTGAGGCTTGCCACGCTGTATTTCCCTAGTCCTTGTAGCATGCGCTCGACAGCGAAGGGCAGTGGACGTGGTGGATGTGGGTTCATGATTCTTGTGTGTTTCTTGTGTTTCCATTGTTTCCAAAGGGCGGTCACTCTCAAGCCCCGACACGCTCTGAACGCAGCATCGAAGCAACTACAGCCCCTCAGGAGTTCTAATGTCAGTTGGCTTTTGACGAGCTTTCAGGGTTTGGGACACAGAAAGAACGCCGCGCCCTTGCGCGCCAGGCGTGCGGGAAATGTGCCGTGCCAGCCTCGGAGCAGCGCTGGCTTTGGGGGGAGGGTGCGCAGAATCCAAGCAATTTGAGAAGTGTCGCCTGGTGGTGTTCGGAGCCGGCTCCCAGCTGAGAACCCCTGCTTCCAGCATCTTGCTGTGGGCTATGTCTTGCTTCCCCGAGCCTGTACAATCCCTTGGCTTTGAAGCCTACTGAGCGAAACCTTGCAAATCGCACTGACCCGAAGCCCGAACTTCCATTGAACCTGCCCCCGAAGGTGTCTAGACACTGAGTGTGACATGCCAAGGCCTCCATTTTTTCCCGGCATGCCCTTTCCTGGGTTGATGCCTGGGATGCCGTTGCTTGGTGCACCTGGTTGCAGCCGTGGTTCTAGCATCCAGGGTGAGGGGAACAGGGTTTGAGACTTGAAATGTGTTTTGCTGCTGCGGACATCATGTCAAATGTAGAGCAACTGCGGTGTTGCCACATCTTCTCCGCGAGAATGGGGTGGGGCCGAACTTCGTGGCATCTTGCCTTGCTACTCCCAGGGTCATTGTAGCCTTGTTGGAGAGGGACCCGAATGCCGATAGTCGTCCCAACATGCACCGCGTGGTCGTGATGGTGGTCTTACATCGAAACCTCAAAGCCCCAAGCTCGCTTCCAAGCTTTTGTCAGGTTTCCCCCCATGTGGGGTTGGCCAGGCATGCCGACAACCAACGGTCCGGGTCCTGGCCGGCTTGGGAAGGGGGAGGGGTTATGTCGGTTATGTCGGCTTTTGGTCAAGTGCCAGGGGCATGACGACCGGCTTTTGGGGTCAGGGTTCACAATGTAATTATGCTGCATGCTGCAAGGGTCAAGAAGGTTTGTGCTTCGCGCGTCCAGTTGTGCGCTTTGCTTTTTGCTTTCTGCGCACTGCGTGCTCATCCAACGCAAATTACTTGAGAACTTACAACACAGTGTGTTCAGGAGTATTTTCGAAGCCTAAGAACAGCCCCACGAGGAAGCATTGAACGGCATTGCTGAGCGGGTGCCGGTTTGATAACTTCCCAGGACTGCTGCAAACATGTTAGAAAAACAGCTCAATCCGTCAAAAGCGTGCTTCAGGATCCATGGGTGTTTACAAGGTCACAAGCACAACCAGCCTTTCATGCGCACGCATACACACACACACACACCCACGGCGCAAGCCAAGGGCCGCTGAGAATGCCTCGACGGCACCTGCCCAACTCGAACTCCAGAACCTCGCAAGCCTTGAAACCCTCAGCCCTAAACCCTAAACTCTCAGCCCTAAACCCTAAACCCTAAGCCCTTTCTTGCCCCGGCAAGTGAGCTTCAACTTTTGGAGGCCGGGAGCGCAGCCGCGAGCGCGACCGAAGGCCTGGCTTGCCTTAAGTAGCAAAAGAACTGTTAAGGGCTTAGGGTTTAGGGTTTAAGGGTTTAGTGTTTAGGAATAGGGATTTGAAAAATCAGTGCTTTTGCGGGTTTTTGTGTTAAGCTTTTTAAGGTTCCCGGCGCTCTACGTAGGTTCGGTTGCGACAACTTCAAATGCTTGCAGGCCCAAGCCAGTCCAAACCCTCACGCGTTGTTGAAAGCTCCAAGGCTTCCAATAGCAACGCCACAATAATCGCCATGTTCTGCTTGAAAGGTAAAGTACCGCAAGTCGAGCAACTGAAGCAGCAGCCCGCCTGTCCCCGCCTAATACCAAGGCGACATCGGAGGAGCCGCTCGCGCAGCCAAAGTGAAGTTGGAGGGAGCCCGGCAGCCTGGGGGGCCTGAGATTCAGGGAGTTAAAGATTTGCGACATGGTGGTCACAAGTGTGCACAAAATGGGTTGATGGTTGATGGTTCTGGGCTGATGGCGCTCCGCGTGCGTAGCCGAGGCAACGACTCCGTGCTGATACGGCGGAGCCTCATGGGCCGGGTAGGGGGGCCTACCCAGCAGTTATCGGGGTCGAGAAGTTGGTGTCGAACCTAAACTTGGAGCCATGTTTAGAGGAGGTTCGGCCTCCCATCAGCTGATTGCTCCCGCATGTGATGATTTAAGCATCCCCGTGAAGATAATACTTTTCCGCATCTAGAGTAGTCTGTGGCTGAGGTCATTGGCAAGGGTGGAGCAACAATCAACAATATTCGGCACGAAAGCGGCGCGCGAATCGATGCCGAGGAGGGAGCAGCTTGCTGTAGGGAAAGCTTGGACTGGGAGAGTGCCTTCGTAGACTTTGACAATGACTTACAACAAGCCAGAAGCTGGATAGCTGTACGATCGGTGCACCTATGAC